CCTTGGGTAATTTACAAGCATTCGCACACATATACAGTTGGAAATCCCCGCCCCCCTTTAAAGTATGGCATATAAAAACTTTTAGTGCTGCTAACCCAACAAGGCACGAAGTGCATATTTCGTTAGAAAATCCTTGTAAGCCACAAAGACTTGAAAAATTTGTGCAGAGCCACAAATTTCATGGGAATAAAAATGCAACGCAATAAACAGAGAAGCAAAAACAGGGACGGAGAGGGAGTTTGGTTGGGTATATAGGGGGCGGAGACTAATAAAGAACAACATCGAAAGAGCACCAAAAAATGCTCGAAGTGAAAAGCTCTTAGAAATCAACGCCAACATCCAAAATCGACCGCCACTCAATGGAGTGTGTGGCAGAGAATCGATTCGCCATTGCGTACTAGTTTCCAATTAAAAGTTTACTAATTATTTCTAAACTTTTGTACAGTGTGCGATCAATGAGCAGAGAGCATGCAATGCCAGCCACCAACTTCCCAGTGAAAGCTCAGCCACAAAAATTGGTAGCGATTGTGTACATGTGTGTGTTTCCTGGGTCTGTGCGTACATACATCCCTTGCAAAACGAAGATAGCTGCTGATGCGATGGCTGGTGGTGTTTATGCCTGCCGCAACTGCAAATGCACTGAAAAAAATAAGAAAAATATTAGTCTTAATTTTAAAATTTCATTTCTTCATCAGTCTTTTGATTTAGGTTGCTTAATTCCTTTTAATATTGTCATAAATTATAAGACTAATTTAAATAAATATAAAATGAATTTAAATTGCTAATAAGAAATAGATATAATTAAACAATTTTTTATATTGTACTAAAGAATATGAAAATAAATTTAATACATAAATATTTTTAACAGTTTCTACATTATTTTTGTTTTGAAGATTATACAAATGAGTAGAACTAATATTTTTTATTAGTGTCCAACTGCAACTACAACTGGCGTAGTTGAATCGGCCAACGGAATTTTCGTTAATTCCGTCATCCGTAAGGACATGCCAGTGTTTGTGTCCTCTGACTAGCAGTTCCGACTCAATCAGACAAGCAAACGAATACTGCAACTGATTTGGGCTGCAGGAGAATTCCGAGCATGTTTGCGAATTAACTGTCATTTGCGAGACCAAATCCAACAGCTCTCATATTGATTGTGTTCCAATTTCGAAGATCGTTAGCCATCCATATCAATTACTAAAATGTTGGGTAACTTTGTCGAAACTCAAGCAAAGTTTCCTCCCACACACACACTGAGTAATAAGGAGGGTGGTGGTTTTTCCATCCTCTTATCGAGGGTGACAATGATTTTGGGTAAATATAAACGACAATTGAAATTTTGCCAGCAACCAATATTTGCTATTGCAATGGTGATGTTGGTTGAATTTGTGCACCGCCCATGCATTTGTCGTTGATTTGTTGGCGTCATTATGTCGCATCTATAGAGACTTTCCCCCAGTCCCCCGATGATGCACTTAACGTTTTCAATTTGCAGACTGTGTCGCTGCACACGTGTCGTATACGTAATGTAAGGTAAATATTATCAGCGGGGCAGTGAAATGAGGCGAAAAAGCAACAAGGGTAGAGATTTTAAGTCCAATGCCAAACCATTTTGATATCATTTGTTTGCCAAAGTTGTTTGTTTTGTGACCGCTTAATTATTTTGTTACCGGTTAAAAAAATTTAATTTGAATTCCGCGGGGAAAAGGAGCATTCAATAATGCAAATGTGTGTTAAAGGTAAAATATTCCGAAAATTGCATAATTTTAATCAGTGCATTTTATGTAAATCAAGTATTTTAATTGTCATTATATAGGAACACAAGTTACGACTTATTTATACCGTATAAAACTCTTTTCAAGACAAATAGGCTTTTAACCTAAACAGACAGTTAATATATAATTACTTTTAGAATTAAATCCAAATTACCTTCTGCTACCTCAATTGATTTTTAAATTGTTGAGCAATCATTCTACGATAAGTATTTAAACATTTGACAGACATCAGACAACAAAATTAATTGCGTTGCATAAAATAATTAGACCATTTTCAGGCAAACAAACAACTCTACTTCTGCATACATATAAACATGTTTATACGAATGTTGATTGTTTAAGTGTGCAAATTATTACCAGCATGATTCATTGGGTAAATATGTGTTAGAATGAAGCGAAAAAAAGGTAAAATTAAAGCTTGACAGAATAAGACAATAATGCTTAACTAAAATAATTACTGAATAGTAACGTTTTTATATAGTAAAAGGTGAATTGTGATTAAAGTGTTCACGGCAAAATACTGATAGCCTCCAACATTCATTCTTAAAATGTCGATTTTCGCTTTAAAGTAATATTTAACCTGCTTGTACACCATACTCGCTGTTTTCAACCAACGCCCAAACGATATGAAAACAACACGTACGTGATGCACAAATAAATCCAATTTTATGATTTGCAATGCAAAATGATTCTTTTTTCCCTGTCCTTCCACCAGCTCAATCCGTTTTGGTCCTGCGCTTTTCTTTTTACGGCTTCACACATACACATGTCCCTATTTTAACTTATTCTTACACTTTTCCCAGATTGTTGCTGCTGTATGGTTACAAAGTTGTTGTCACTGCGGCGGCTTTGTTTGTGTTTAGACATTTTTACACTCGCCGTCGGAGAGACAGTTTACTGTTGCCTATATAAGACCCGACAAACTGCACAGCACGTGATCGCCGGGATAATACAGAAATACACATCAAGATACATATGTCTATATGGCTGGAAGTGCGGGACATCCCACCCCTTTCGGTATAAAAATCATATACACACGTTTCTGGTTGTGGCATTTTATTGGCAGCGCTTTTATTTGCAACGCGTGAGACGCACAACAAAATGCTTTGTTTTCATGTTTTGCGAGTGTTTTTTTTTTATTCAGTGTCGTATAAAATATAAAAGAGAATTTATTACTGGAAGCAAGGCAGTTTTAACTATTTTTTTAAGGAATGAAGGTATTTAAGGCGTCCTATAGCCTTATTTTCATCAATTCTTATAATTTCCTTTAATTTATTTAATCAATTTTTAATAATAAATAAAAAGGCAACTTCACTAGTTATAATTGCTGGCTAATTTAAAAACAACAACATTCACTCATTCCAATGAGAGCCAAAACTAGTTTGCTTGCATATGGCAAACAAATTTAATGGATTTAATCCAATTAGCAGGATTCCACAAAATGCAAAGCTTTTTCAAATGCACTCCGAAATTCTCTGCCACATCTCTTGATTCAGATGTAGAGCTGGAAAGCCTGTGAATAATTTTTCCTATTCATAAACGTGGTTGCGGCCAACATGGACGTATTTCGGGATGCTTATACGAATTTTATTTTGCCATTAAACGGCGGGAAACAAAGTGGTAATAAATGTGAAATGTCAATTGGCTTGCCTGCAAGAGTATCGCAAAAATTTAATAAATAAATAACGAGGATGTGAGAGCGTCCCAAACTGCACATGTGAGCTGTTCGAGAGCCTCGATTTATTTCAATCGAAGTGCAAAAATTGCGCATTCGCCCCATCAGACAGGACTGACAGATAAAATCATTAAAGTAAGAGAGCCGAGTCAACGCTAAAGCATATATCGACATGCTGCTTGACAGTTCGACTATTTGACTTAAGTATGCCCGGATGCCAGCAGACATAGCCGGTTTTCCCACACTGATGCTCCATTGAGATCTGGAGCACGGCTGCCTGGGAAAATGTGGGGTCCGAGGAGGCTGGTACCAGTGCTGAATAAACTTGTAGACGATGAAAATCGCAAACATGCAGTTTTTCCCCATCCAAACCACTGCACCACTTTTTCCATAGCCCCGGGGCTTGGCAAAAAGTTTCGCATCTCGATGTGTGTGAGCAAATAAAATTTGTTTAGTGCTGAGGCGCAAACTAAAGTCGTGTTGACGTGAAGCATTGTCGTTTGTTTACCCAGCCAGAGCGGTACAACAAACGCAGCCAACGGATCTGGTGGTTTAGGGTCCAGTTAAAGCGGAAACCATAAAGTTTGCATTAAATAAAAGATGAAATCGCTAAAACTTTAGCTGCAGATAGAGAAAAAATATTGCCAATCTTCTTTATGGTTGCTATTTTATAAAGAAACAGAGTTTATGGTTAAAGTAACATGGATATTTTTTTTAAACTGCTTTATATGGTTAGAAATTTTTTTTTTTTTTAATTTGTATAACCCTTTTACAAATCAAAACATAGTCTGGATAATGGTTTCCATAAATTATAAACTATTTTTTTCCTTTAAAGAAATTATCTAGAATCCTTTCCATTTTTTTTCTCCACTTTCACTTGGCTGATTTTAAAGAAAGCAGACCTTTCCATTATCTTTTACGCTGGCAGACTTCGGCGCTTGATTAATTACAGCTTGTTAACGCCTTGGCTGGATGCTCAAGGGTTAACCGGCATCAGCATCAGTCCGTCAAGGATTCGCTTTAATTTCACAGTTTACTTCCCACAATCCCGGTGCTACGATGCTACTTTCAGCCCGTCAGGGCCAGGTCAGGGCTGGAATTGAAATGCATTTTTAATTAATTGAGAGAAGGCAAAAACTCTGCAGTTAATCCCTGAATTTTTTGACCTTTCGAAGGCTTTTAATAGTGTTCACAACTCGGCAAGGTTAACAACGCGTAGAAAAAAGTTATGCCTGCTAACTGAGTTTTACTGGATTTATTCGACTTAAACTCAGAAAGGGTAAAAATTACTGGGTTGATTTAATTTGGATAAAACAACAATTAAATTATTAGCTTTTGTTGAATTTTTTATGATTTTTCTATGGTAAACAAACCGAAATAATACTCTTAGCCAGCGTAATTCTCACTTCAAAATAATCTTCACGCCTGGCTGTAATTAATGCAACCTCCAAGCGGGCATGACAAATCCATTTCCTAGACAGCGTGGCATTAATTTACTCCGTCGCCGTCACATAAACTCAAGATACACATTCGTGGGCCGATGGGCAACAGAATGGCAGATAGTACAGGGAGCATTGTCACCACTAATGGTGGTCCGTCTTCACAGCGGAAATCCTGCTCGTCGGAATCTCCAGCGGAACTGCGAATCCTGTGCCTCGACCTCACCTTCCACAATCGCACCAGCCGATTCCTGCTGAACTGCGCGGGCGTCTTTATCCTGCACATCCTGTACGGCTACCTGCAGGAGCTCATCTTCACCGTGGAAGGATTCAGACCCTACGGATGGTTTCTGACCCTCATCCAGTTCGGGTACCACATCGTCTTCGGACTGGTGGAACGCCAGCTAGAGGGCTACCGGATGAGCAGTGGATTATTTTTTAGCATTGAGCCGGAGCCACGTTACATTCCCATGAGAACGCACCTGCTTCTGGCTGCCCTCACCCTGGGCACCATGGGTCTGTCCAACTCCAGCTTGGGCAGCCTGAACTACCCCAACCAGGTGATCTTCAAGTGCTGCAAACTTGTGCCCCTCCTCGAGGGCAGCACCCCCAACCAAGGCGAGCGCTACGGACTGCTGCACTTTATGGCGGCCACCTGCATGTGCATCGGATTGGCCTGGTTCACGCTGGCCGACTCCCAGATGACGCCCAATTTTAGCTTGTTGGGCGTGGCCATGATCTCGGGAGCGCTGCTCTGCGATGCGGCCAGCGAAAGTGTCCAAGCGAAGGCCGTGCGGGAGCACAAGGCGTCCAGCAGCGATTTGGCCTTCTACTCCCACGGCCTGGGATTCATGTGCCTCTTTGTGATCATGCTCGTTACCGGCGATTTCTTTAGCGGCCTTGCCTTCTGCTTGGAGCACCCTGTGGAGACCTTCGGCTATGCGTTCCTGATCAGCCTCTCTGGCTACCTGGGCATCCAGTTTGTGCTGGCCCTGGTGGGAAGCAGTGGGGCTCCCATGGCTGCCACAGTGACCACCGCTCGCAAGGCTGTGACCATTGCCTTTTCCTTTGTGCTCTTCAGCAAGCCTTTTACATTGCAGTATCTTTGGTCTGGCCTTATAGTTGCCATGGGCATCTATCTCAACGCATACAGCAAAAGGAACAAGCTGACTTTGGCCGACATCCGGCAAGGATTAAATCGAGTCGGAGCCAAGGCTGCACATAGTCGCGAATTCCGCATCGAAGTTTAGTCCAATGCCAAAAACATGATATACATTTTAGTCGAACTGGAACAAACGTTTTCTGTAAGTAACTTACTTAGTTATATGCTTAAAAACTCCGTAAAAAATAAAAATGCAAATGAAGTGCACTGTTAAGAATAACGTTGCGCATCCAAATATTTTGTATTCATTTTAAATATTTTCCCTTTGATTTTTATCAATTGGGGCTGTCTAAGACAACCAAGATCAAAATATGGAACCAAATGCAAGTATCAATCAAATGAGTCGAAAATTATCCAAGCTTAATATTTAGTTTCATGCTTTTAATTATGCACTTTGAACTAGCACAAAGTTGTCAAGCATTTTGTTCTGGAGCCAAAAGAAACTGAAATCGGCAGAAACCAAATGAAAATTGGACCCAAAAATCGAGGACATTCTGAAATGATTTTGTTGTAATATTTGTTGGGGAAAACGTAAGCTGGCGAACAATTTGGTAGAAAAGTTTTTAACTGCGCCCAAGAACTTCAATTTAAACTTTTTAGCCAGCCCACAAGTTAATTTTTTGTTCTCCTCTTTGACTGCTTTTATTTGGCTTCAAGGACACAGAAGATTTGGCATTAAGTGAAGGAAGGGAAATCTGTAAGGTTTTTGGATTAGAGGACATCAGAAAAGGGTTGCAGCTGAAGCTAAATGAATTGCTAATTAAGTTGGGCCAAACGAGGCTAAGTCAAGCTAAGCCTGGCAAATTGTTAATAATCCCGGCAGCATTTCTACTTTATTTCCAAAACGTAATAGTCATCTTTAACTTGGCTGCCAACTTGGCCAGCGACGCGTGTCGAACTTTATTTTGATATGGGTCCAGGTCACTGACATATCAATTTGACCACAAAAGCTTTCAGACAAAGGCCGAACCCAAGTTGGCCGCAAAATTCAATTTGGCCACAATGAGACGAACATGAAAAATACTCAAAAATATCTCTCTTGCCAATAGTTATGTGGAATGCGTGCAACTTTTATGTGAGACTGAGATCAAAAGGTGGTCTTCTAGTGAGAAATTCAAAGTGCAAAAGAAAATCCAAATGGGCTTGGCAATGGCCGTTTCAGTTTTCGATACGGAAAATTCCAGGCAAGACAAACGGAATCCATTTAAAATTGGTAAAATGTGTTTCAAGTATTTGCTGATGAAAATCTTGGCTTCCAAAGTCGAGCAATAAATATGCATTCACACCTAAAAAAAGTTAGAAAATATGGTAAATCCTTTTTTGACAATTAAATTTATATAAAATTTCATAACATTTCAAATCTTACAACCAGAAAATATAAGTGTATGTTAAAAAAATTAACTTAAGCTCTTTAATAACCTTTTCCCTTGAAATTTTCAAAATTATTTTTTTGCTATACAAGTTGCAATTTTATTATACAACAAAATATAGAAATTTGTTTATAAGTAAAAATTTCCACTAAAATATTAAAAAATGTGGGCTTAATGTATTTGATATACATTTTGTTCGTGTGTCTTTTATTGAGCTAAACTCTAAATAGAGAACTCATGTTGGTCTTCTAGGGAAATATATGTTTGCTGCCGACTGAAATTATCATTCTGCTCAGTGAACTATAAGCACTTAAATCATCCAACTGCGAGTGCAAATTATGTGCACTATTTGGAGGGTGACTGCGAGTGCCTCTAGAAATGAGAGCACCCATGACATGAGTCAATAACCCAACCACGAGCTCACAAAATCCTGGAAAACTTCATCGACTTTGTGAGGCTAATTGGTTGACGATTCGCCTGTACTTTGTCCTCAATGCGCTTTTCAAATTCGCATTCATCCGACTGTCAGGGCAGTTGTTGTTCTTGTTGGTGCCGGAACGATATGATATGTCAATCAATCATGTTCGTCTGATCGATTCCAGTGGGCGTTAGTCGTGTAGTTTGTCAAATCGAGAAAGTTTAGCTAGCTGCTTTATCGCTGGGGGACAGATAAATATAGAAGTTCGACAGGACTCCGAGTTGAACGAAATTTTAATGAGTACATTTTTGTTCTCGCGTCCGAACTTTAATCGAAATCGCATCGAAATCGATGGCCTTAATTGGAAGTGAACAGAAATATGCTCCATCATGATGGTTCACTTCATCGTAAACGCACATTGGGCCGGATCCACTCGAGGCCAAACACATGTTGGCAATCGATGATAAATGATTACTTATAATGCCGTTAACGGAAAAAGGCACGAGATCCTTAGGCTGGAAAAAAAACAACCAAATCAACTGGCCATAAAAACTCGAGGAATTTATGTCTACATCGATGACGTCGTTCAAGGCATAAAAATTCCACTCATCCTTCAGCCAGTTTTCCCCATTTGCATTATATTATTTGTTATTGATTTTATGGCGGAACATTCGCTATGTCCGCTTTTTATGGGGTTTCCCTTTAAATCCAAGGCAATTTAACTGCCGGCGTTGTTAATTTTTGCCCATAAACGCGCTTAATTGGCCAAATTATGTGTGCAAGCAAAGTGAAGGGTGAAAATACCCAGCAAAAAGTAAGCCACAAAGCAGTAAAGCGAGTTAAAAAAAACTGAACGGAAAAACGAATTTTTTTGCACTTAAAAATGCACTAAAACTATGAACACCCTTTTGGTAGAGTAGGGTACTTCGTTTGTTAATTTTTATGGCTCACCTAGTTATTTTATGATACAAATTTGTAATTTAAAAAGAATTCTAGAATAATATTTTTTCTGAAGAAGTTATTTATTGTGGCTCATTTTTGTCATTGATTTGAAATGTTCTTTCACTCTCACCTTATTTGATTGCCCTCACATTTTCAAAGGACTCTTCTCGGCCAAAGTATGAACAGAAAACCAAAAAGGGAAGGGCCCTCAAAACTGCTGCCAATTGCAGTTGGCTAGTGGTTGCAATACTGCGGTTCTATGTTGGCTTGGTGGCGGTGACGTTTAATTTAAAATGAAACACATCATGCTGGCCAATTATTTGAGCAATTTGGCAAATTAGTGGCCCAAGTCGTTTCGTCTAGCCCCGAAAAGCGGCAATTACCAGCCAGTATTCGAGGTCCTCTCTCTGTTGGCCATGCAAATTGTTGTAGCCCACTTTTCTGCAGTTTCTGCTGCTGCTGCTGCTGCTGTTACTGCTGCTAATTACCACACAAAAGACAATTGGATGTGGAAAGCGAAAGTCTGCGTTTCCAAATGCACAAATGTCGACTCCTCTTGGCAAGGTTAGCAGCTTGACTTTTGTCAACGCCGTCTCAAGTGTTGCCGCTCAACAATATCGCACGCGGGCAACATTGCGAATGCCATGGGCCAAGTTAAAACGCATTTCTGCCAAACAATAGCTACGGCAAACGAAGGGTGAAATCTGAATGGGATTTAGACACAAGGCGAGCGAGCACAAAAATACGCAACAACGGAGAAATAACAGAAACAGCCAAAGCGGGCCACACAATGAAATTTTAATTAAGTCTGAGCCGGGGCTCGCTTTGTGCTGATGCAGCCAAATGAAATGCCACTGATTATGTTTGTATGCCCACTACCCGTTGATTTAATATGGCAAAATGAGTATGCTGGACTCTTCAGAAATTACAAATTGATTTAACTTCAAATAAAACAAAAAACAATCTTACAATCATATTATATACTTTTCAAATGTCAATTACATTTATTCATCTGGTTTTTAGATAATTTCATATATATTTTATTGATTTAATATTAAATAGACTATTTATTGGCTAAATTGTAAATTAGGAAATGATGAGTGTTTGGTTCAGGCATTTATGTAAAACATACTTTATATTCAATCTTTTAAGTCCATTAGTTTTTCAATTAATGGATTCAATTCACTATTGTTATTTGAGCTTTTAAAGATTATAGTTTAAAATGCCTTAAATTAAGGGTTTTCTTTTTAGACCAACTTCGGGTTTTTAATATAAATAAATTACTGAACTTATGAGGTAACATTAAGTCTGTCCTAAATCAACATTGTGCTTGAATAGCTCTTAAACTGCTGAAATGCTGGCACATACACACATTTGTTAGCAATTTTTCTGTATGTACAGTATGCATTTACTCTTCTACTTTTACTTTCCCCCACCTACCCGAAATTCGACCCCTTTCTACTTTCTCCTTTCTCCGTTCCCCTATCTCGGCGTGCATTCGTTGCATTTGTTACTTTGTTTTGCGTCTGAATGGCTGCACAAATACAAAACGTCTGCACATTGTATCTTGCTTAGTATGAAACATAAATGCATTTGTGTAATTACACAACATACATAACTGTATCTAAAGGACCTTGTTTTGGGATGTCTGCTGGTCTAAGCCCACTGGGCGGGTGGGAGCGAGACGGGGGCACCGGGGGAGCGGGACAGAGCGAGCGCGGTGCTGGCTTCTCCCTAATTGAAGTAAATGTGCTAAAGGCTTGCCAAAGTTATTCGCAATGGGAGTGTTCTTTAGCTAATGATTGTTAATGGATTCATTAGAAATCTCTATTTTTACGTTCAGCTAACTGGGGCCATTTAATATTAAAGGGATTTTGGAAGAGCTGCTTGTTTGAAAGAGAAAACAACGCGAATTTAATTTATAAATTTTAAAAATATGATATACAAAATAATATTTTGAGTATGTACGCCGTAAAAGAAAGTGTCTAGTCCAAAATATGTTTCCCATAGGGCAATACTATAATTTATTGTAATGATTTATTGCTAAAATGATCATAGGGAACATTTAGATATTAAAGCCCTCGCAGTAAGGCTTTAAAATCTCATTAAATATAATAATTTCATCATTGACAGCATTGACAGCATTTAATCATTTTCTGCTCTTAATTGCAACAATTGCCTTCGTAATCGAATAGTTAATTATGCCCAGCATGCAACAGGCCAAGTCGAACTCTGTGGTCTACGCTCTCATTTAGTTTTCATTACTAATTTTGGAGTAGCACGTGATGGGCATGGATAAATGAAGACAAATAACTCTTTCGTTTAGATCCAACCAAGCCAATCTTTCCGATTTGTATGCATGGACTGACCACAGAAATGTAATACAATGGAAAAATTACTTGCTTACCTCTGAATCGCTGCGTTCTGCTTTCTGCTCCCTATTTAATTAAGCACTTAATTATTTAATGCGCTGATTGTGCAATATTTCAAAGGACCCCACCCAGTACTTAGCTTGCTTAGCTCAGCTAAGCGAGAGTCCTTTGAGTGTGTGCGATAGAGTGAACCTTACACTATGTGTTCAGTTTATTGTACCCTTAAAAAAATTAGTTTTATGCAGGAAATACATTACATTACTCATACGACACGTGGTCTAAAAGCTTACGTTTTTAAGCTTTGTATATATCATTTTTTGTATATAAGGTCCAACCTAGAAAGGAAGCGTGTGTATGTGGGGGATGTGAGTGTGTTGAGGTGTCATAATTATCGCATTGGGAAGCCGAAATTTAATCAGACCACCGCACCATGGGTCAAGTCAAGGTGTGGCTCCGGCTTTCCATTTGATTGCGCTTCTCTAGACTGAAATTAAATGAAGCGGCTAATGAATTACACTCAACAAAATTTGTGAAAGGTTGGGTCACAAGCAAAGTATTTAAAAAATATATATTCCCTTGAATGCTAAACTTATTTGCTCATAACATTTCATTCCATTTTCGCTTGTTAATTAAAATTTTCTAGTACACTACGTACTTGAATCAAATGTTTCCTTTACAAATTATGGGACTTGGTTCTATTGCAAGATTTTAATAAAGTCCAACATTGCATTTCATTTCCATATGCTGGCTCTTTCGACCGCCTGTCTCTCTAATTAAACTTTATGGAGAAGCCAACATTTGTTCCTCACCAACGCCTTATTAAGCATTTCCATTATTCTGCACTTGACCAGCTCGGTCTCTTTTAATAAAGCTTATATTTCCCCTTGTTCCGAGCTCAAGCGAATGAAAATAAAATGGAGTGGGTGATGCGGTCAAGTGTGAGTGGACATAATTAAATTACGAAATCTCCCACTGCTATTATTTGCTACGATTGAAGAGGGTTAAAGGTGCTTAGAATTGTGGAAACAAAGAATCAATAAATACAAATTGTGTAACTGATGTGCGCTGATGTTTTTAGTCACATTGCTTATTTACTTTAATCTGAACCCGTCCATGCATTTATTATTCAATCAGCAGTTTTCAATTAATGGCTAAGACAACATGCCCCACTCGCCGAATCCCAATTCCATTAAAACACGAATCAATTTAATAGAGTTTTCACTCCTGCTCCTCCTCCCAAACAACCATTCTCTAGAGATAAAGCAAATATTGGCTCTCCTCACGGTGCATGTGTATCAAAAGGCAAAAAAAGGCAGACGAAACAAAATCAATCGAAAATGTTTGCTGCACTCAAATTAAAAACACAAACAGACCAATGCCAGGCTAGTGTGAGAGTAAATGCAAACAAAATGGCAAATAAATTTGATTTGTATGCAACAAACGAGAGCAAACGAAACAAGTACACTGAAAGTCAGTCGGCCAAATTTATGCGTTTCATGCGTTTAAAATTGTAAAACAAGCGAGAATGCACACACCCAGACTCACACACACAGTTACTCCATTTGGCCCTGGCACATATTCTCAGCCTTGTTGTGCGGCAGAAAATTTGCGCTATTAATATTTGCATTCAACTGGCAACAGCCCAAGCAAACCCGAACCACCCATCCTACCAATCCCTTGGTGGAGCTCCTCCTTGTCCTCTCAACACTCCTTGAAACTATCAACACATCTGCCAGCGGCATTGTCAGTTGACAATGGTCCTTTGGGGAGATGGAGGGAGGACGCAGGATGCAGGATGCAGGGGGACCAGCCGCTTGGCAATGCTGCGTATTATGACTGCAGCTATGCACCCGTATAAGGGGTTTCTCTATATTTAAAAAGGCTCAAGCGGCACTTAACTTCTGCTCAAAGCACGTCCTACCATCACAGCGTACTGTGGAAAAGTTGTAAAAAAAATTATCTACAAAAGAAATATTAAACGTTTAATTATACATAAAAAATTGTATTATTTAGTTACTCTAAGGTAAAAACTTGTTTTGGATTAAAAGCGCACTAGGAATTTGGTAAAAATTTGTGATTTTTTTTTAAATTTCATATCAAGAAAGTTTTTTTTATCGCATTGAAGATGAAATTGTTGATCACCCAGACGAACTTAATATTTCTTGTTTTAAGAAATAATATATCTTGTTTGTTCCAGGGCCAGGAAATCCCCATTAATTTTCTCGAAATAAAAGTGAGTATCCTCTGCCAAAAATTAAATGTCGATCTTTTTTAGATTTTAGGCGAAAATGTATGTTGTTTTTATGAGTTTTCTCAAGCTTTAATAGTTATAAAGATTCTTAATTATTATTTCTCCAAAAATTCCAACACTATTGTTTTAAATCTTATCTTAACGTTAAGCAATATACTTTTGGTAATTGTAATAGACATTTCTGTAAATCTTAAGTTACTATAGTTTTACTTCGATTTATCTATCAAATGAAATTCGTGAGTGATTTTTTTCGTGCATCAAATTTAGCCCCTCCAGACGCAGTTTCCCGGGCATGGCCATCGTCGTACAGGTCGAATATTCCCCGTAGATTACGGATGCCTGACCAACTTCAACCGAATTACCTGCACGAGCGGGGGGAATTCTCTCTTTGGCGATTCGTATTCAAGATCATTAAGATTGGTGTCCTGCTGCTGATCTGGGGCTTCTTTACCTACGTTCTGGTTCGGATTTCGAACAAGCGCGATGACTCCTCGGTGGTCACCGTGCTGCCCAATGAAACTGCGCTTCGCAAAATGCCACTTCCGAACGATGCTGCGAGGATAACTCTTTGGGGTCCCATTGATTTGCATGCGAGGCCCGGGGATACCCCTCTGGTGGCTGTACGGGTGGAATGGCGTGAACCGAATATGAATAGCATATTCCAGCACTCCGCCATGTGGAATGTCTATCTGTTGAAGGACGATGAAGCCTTCGTGAAGGCGGCCAAAACCATTCTAGTCACACCAAGGGAAAAGAGTTATTACAAGGGCGTGATTTCGCTGGAGGGCAAGAACGATCGGCCAGTGTCCCTGCTCATGCTGGTTTCCATCTGTCCCCTGGTGACCAATCACGGAGTGATCTACGCCGCTCTCCTGCTCATTGCTCTGTACGTCCTCATTGTCTTTGAGTTGACGGACCGCACATTCGCGGCTCTCCTAATGGCCACCACTGGCATAGCTATACTAACGGCGCTGGGAAATCGACCGACCCTGCAAAACATCATCTCGTGGATCGACTTCGAGACCCTGATGCTGCTGCTGGGCATGATGATACTGGTGGCCATAATGTCCGAGACCGGAATCTTCGACTGGATGGCCGTGCTGGCGTACAGGATCTCGATGGGTCATCCCTGGCCGCTGGTTATTCTCCTGAGCACCATTACCGCCCTCATGTCCTGCATTCTGGATAACGTGACCATGCTGCTACTCATGGCACCCATTGCCATTCGATTGTGCGAGGCCATTGGAGTGCAGACGCCACTCGTTCTGATCGTGGTTGTCATGTACTCGAATCTCGGTGGCACCCTCACTCCGGTGGGCGATCCGCCCAACGTGATCATCGCCACCAATCCGGAGGTTGTGGAGGATGGCATCGATTTTGCCACCTTCACGCTGCACATGCTGCCCGGAGTTTTGCTGGCCCTGATAGCGGGCTTTGGAGTAGTCTACCTGACCATGAGGAGGTCTCTGTTTAAGCTGGAGGAACGACAATTTGAGTTGGTGGCGGAAAGGGAGGCTGCCAGGCGTCGGATTAGTGCGGAAATCAACACGCGAGCCACCCAATTGAGGGAACTTCAATCGGCGCGACCGTGCATTAGGCCGGCGGATAACTATTTCGAGACCTTGGCCCATTTGGAGGCACATCATCGCATCCGCGACAAGACGCTGCTGATCAAGTGCATGTTCACGATGGTCTTCGTCATCTTCTGCTTCCTGATGCACTCGCTGCCCTTCATGCCCGGCGCCACCTTGGGCTGGGTGGCCATCCTGGCCGCCTTCCTGCTCCTCATCCTGGCCAAGATGAACAACATCCAGGAGGTGCTCGACCAGGTCGAGTGGTCGGCCCTGCTCTTCCTGGCCGCACTGTTCGTGCTCACCGAGGCGGTGGACCAGTTGGGTTTCATTCATTGGATGAGCGATCATGCGGTCAGGATGATCATGAGCATCGATGAGCGACACCGGACCACAGTGGGCATCCTGATCATCCTCTGGCTGTCCGCCATTCTGGCCGCCTTCGTCGGCAACGTACCGGTGACGACGATGGTCCTGCGGCTGAACATCGCACTGCACCACAACGAGGCGATCAAAATGCCGCTGTCGCCATTGATCTGGGCCCTGTCCTACGGCGTCTGCTTCGGCGGTAATGGCACCCTGATTGGGGCATCGGCCAATGTGGTCGCAGCGGCGATAGCCCATCAATATGGCTATAAGATCTCGTTCATTCAGTTCTTCATCTACGGCTTCCCCATGGTGCTGGCCACCATTTCGCTAGCCATGGTTTACCTCCTGATGGCGCATTCGGTCTTCACTTGGCACAAGACATAGGTTCCCAGCGTCCAACTCTCGAAGTTGCGAGAGATGGGAACTTGTGTTCATTCCATCTATAAGAAGAAGGCTGCCATCCAGAGATAGATTACGTCAAAGGACTGAATGTAACGATTTCTAATTGGACATACTATTTTGGCAACTCGTGAGGACTATAAAATACTTGTAAAGTGTAAAGTGTAAGTGTCTATTATGGTCACTCAATAAAGTATAATTTTAGCTTAAGCAATTCTCTATAAAAAGGCTGTTATATTTATTTCAGTTTGATGAACACTGAATTATGATAGATAATCAAGTTCTCGTTTAGAAAGTCAATAGGATGTCAAAAAAAATAAATAAATAGTTTGTGCTTTTTTACGATCTTTCTAGACATATTTTATTTTTAAATTGGTTTTTAACACACATCGAAGATCTTTACGATTTTACTTAGTATTGCATTTTATTTTAAGTAATCCAAACTTATTTCAAACCTTTGTCCACTGTAATGAATTGTTTTAAAAAATTACCGAAATCCCATCTTGAATTTAAATTTTCGCTTTTTTCGCCCACTGTATTATTTAATATAGCATACTTTAGTGCGCAATGACCCAGAGAACTCCAGCTGCAACGACAATGCGTAGCTTGGCTAAATTCTTCCGCTTAATCGCGCAATAATAGCTCAAGGGTGTTAAATATGCATAAACAGCAGCAGCGGCAGCAACAAAGGCAACAACTGCGATTACAACTGACTAGATATGTGTGGAGTAACAACCTAACCACATCTACTTCTGCTCCAGGGTCCTTGTGGCTAAATATAAATCCGACTGTAAGGACTGCAGTAATCAGCGCTGGGAGAGATTTTAAATGTGGCAAAATAATTGGAAGCAATTACATTTTCTATTAAGTTAATTGAGGAACTTAAATTAAATGTGCTTACCTTCTGGTGTTCTTCAGCTGAGAAAAACACACAATTCAGTGAATTAAAGCCACTTGAATAACAACCATACACAACGTGTACACATTGAAACAAGAATTCACTCGTGGCAATCAAAGAAATTCTTGGGAAAAACGCGAATAACAATTTCGCCGCGAGGAAAAAATAAGGGCAAGCCCGAAAACAACAACACATGCAATCCGCCAATAAATCAACTAATTAAATATTCCAATTCGGAGCCGAAGTATTTGATTTTTGCAAATTTAAACAACACGATGAGGCGCCAATCGAAGCGCAACCCTTGTGCCCTGCTTTGCATTTTGACTCTGATTTGATGTGGATGTCGCGACTTGAATCAACATCAGTAAATAAAAACAGCAACAGATATGTGAAAGCACGCGACGCCCCAAAAAATGACTGAAATAATATCAAATGAAATGAAATAAAACGAAATGTCTGATTGCGTTGGCGTTTTGGCTTTTCGATGTTTGCTGCTCCCCAATGGCAAACATGAAAGCGGCTTTGCATGTGAGCCGCACACCAAACATAAAAAAAAAAACAAAAAATAAAAATACAAAAATTAAGCCAAAGCAGCAGTATGTGGCAACAACAACAGCCATCGGGCCAAAAAGCAATGGCAACGTAACACTAATTACCGTAATTGTGTACAGGGCGTGTAGAAACACTCGATGAAGGCGACGAGGACAAAACTTTAACTTGGCCTCTAGCCTCCAACCTGCAACCTCACTTGGCCGGAACTTTTTACTCGGACCAGAGATGAATGCGTGAAAAGAGTTTATTAAAAAAAAACAAAAGCAAAACTAACTAAAATTAAAAATAAGGTATACCGACGCAAAGTTAACACTTAAATTTAGATGGGCTTGCTGCCGTAATGTGAAAAATTTCCAGCCTAATTCAATTTGTGTTTAGAAAATCGTACTTTAAAAATTGTAATAAAAAAATATACCCACTGGTTATTTATGTATAATATTTATACTTTTTTAAAGCCAATAATTCTATTTGTATTTATACAAAATTACTTTAAAAATTGTAATTAAAAATATAAATATTAGTAATTTGTTTAAAAAATGTATACCTCTTTATGGTCGACCATTATTTTAATTTATTATATAATCCAAAAACTCGGAATAAAAAACCTCTAAAAACTGTTTACTAATAGGTGCCTTTTTAAAAGCAGGTCTCAATAAAGTTTATAAAATCGGAGAGGGCAATTAAATCTGAACCCAATAAAATATTCCATGATCACTCTGCCAGCTCTGTTTAGCATTAAAGAGCTCGTTACTCGGTTACGCGAAAGCGTCACGTTGGCATCGCGTGCTGGGCAACGTGTGTGGGGCGACCAAATGTGTAGAAATAAAACATTAAATTACATTGGATTCTCGGGGTTCCTCTTGGCCTCTTATTGTCTCTCGCCTCGGAACCTCCTCCTTTTTTGGGGGCCAGGTGTGGTTTGCACGTAGATCGCGCACGTAGCCGAAATTTTGAGCACTCCGCAGGATGCAGAAGGATAGTCAGACAGACCGCCGGCGGTTTGTTCTGAAGTGCGCTTTAATAGTTGGCTGTCTGCAGCTGCCGCAGTCGGAAAAGCGGAAAAGCGGAAAAGCAACAGCAGCGGGCTGCGGCATATGAATGTGGCGTGTTGGCAAGCCAGAGTGCTGTTTAATAAAATGGCGAGGAGAAGAGAACCCATGGCACTGCTGCAACACGAACTGAAAGTGTAATTATGCAGATGTTTGAGGATCAGCCACAGCAATGATTTATGTATGGCTGGCACAAACGTCGTCCCTAATTACATCTGCAGCGACAAAGTGACCGAAGGATGCATAGAATTAAACCAGCTAGCACATGAAAGGCCCGAGAAAATCGGCTTACACCTGAACAATCATGAATTAAATCAGAAATCCCCGACTTGAGGACACGAAAGTAATTAACTTGACCTGGGATGTATGCCCAGGGCCATCATCAATTTCCCAACTTGTCACTCTCCGCCGGGAGTTGGTGTTAATTCTCGTCTAATTTGTATTTCACCTGTCCGCCCACACGACCACATCAGCAATTAAAAATCCTTTAGGCCAACATAAAAATGGCATTAAATCTGCCGGTGATTATCCTTGTCTCGGGCATGTCCGAATGTATGTAAGCTTGGAATTGGGCATAAAGAAGCGGTGATGTGACAAACTTAGTGAAATAGGATTAGATCAAACACATCAACTAATTAATTTCGCTCACCTATAATGGCCATTGAATAAAAAATTGTTTTTCTTTTGTGTTAGGGGTAATCAAATTTTATATATAGTCATGACTTTTGGAATATAACGTAAGTTAGTAAGACTGCAAATAAACATTTTGTTTATTTTTAATATCAAAATTAGTATTATTGATACAAAAAAATGTTTGATCAGGATAAAGAAAGGCAATCCTGGAGTGTACCTAGACACCTTTGGACCCAGTTGGGAACGCATCGAGGTACCACTTTTTTAGTAGCTTATTCCTCACCTTAGTAAAAAAAAACTATCAGGATTCCTTTAACCTTACCTATGTACTACTTTTTATTTAGGTACTGAAAGTTTTTTTCTTCTTTTCAAAAAAGGATTCGTAAGATACTATAAAACCACTTCGGCTTACTAACAAAAGTTTTGGCTGTAACTTGAGCTAATCTCTTCCAATTATGATAAATATTTATCTTGAAATTTAGCCCTAACCGCAATGCCATCACGATGCCATCTTTAATGCCGGACCCAAATATCCTTTGGTCACGCACACCAATGTCCGGACATAGTTTTCCGGACTAATACACAGGAGCGGGGGGAGATGGGTCATGATCATATCTCAGACGAGCTGTCCTTGGTGTTATTGTTATTTTGATAGTCCCATTGCATTTTTTACATAGCTCTCTGAGGCTGGCATACATTGTTTACTGGTGGTCATAATGATTACTTATTTCGAGGATTACTTACTCGTTCTCGCTCGCTCCACCGAATGCTGCTCCGTTTTATTGGCATTGTTAATATTTGCTTTGTTGGCATCCTTGGTTTATTTGCTCAGGATTTGCAAGTATGCCAGAGTGTGCTCTTTACGCCCACTCCACTTAATCGTAGATACACGCTCATTTAGTTTTATTGCGCATCTCGGATTGTGGCATTTGGGAAATTTAGTATTTTAAAGATGCCGCCTCCAAGCTACCGAAAAATGCCAGCTATTCGTTTCCGTTTATTTGCTTGAGGTTTTCTCACAAAAGGAGGCAATTAAAATTTTAAGCTTTGTGCTGAGATTCCTGAGTGTTTCTCCGGAAATATTTTATGGGGATGCCCATTAAAATTGCGCATCAAAATGGAAAGGAGTGCTAGATTATAATTCAATTATTTAATAAACGTACGAAGAAGAAAGTTTTGAACAAAAAACATAATAAATTCAAAAGGTGGATAATCGTAGAATGATTACCATATTTTATAGACCACAAAATATTTTTCATTTTTGATTAATGCGATGGAGAAAACCAAAATGAATCCCAAATAGGTCATCACCCTGGAAGGACCGCTCAAAAAAACTTAAATGAATACCGAGGATATTCATAAATCACAGAGATGTTCATTAATTCGCCGCTTGACAATTGGTCAATGCTCGCGATTTAAAATGCATTAAGAATATATTCTTACATACCCCTAGACCTATGCTCATACCACAGAAAATAAAGAAAATTATGCGAGAAAAAGGTACACAAAAAAACAGCACTCAACTGACTTTCGCGGTCGTAGAAATGATTAATGACAAATTATTTTATGAGGCCAAGGAAAGTCTAAAGACAGAGGCAGGCTGAGCACATCGCATTAAATGTATTTAAATTATTATTACAAAACGAAATTAAACGTAAGGAGGAGGGCGAAAGACCATTTGATGGGCTGCTCAAATAAGAAAAGCAAATAAATCATGAATATTAAGTTGCCCGGCGGAGAACAAAAGTCAATTGGGCTAAGTTCACTGGTCAGAGTGAGGACTTAAAGGACTTGGAATTGCTAGGCCACATCAGAGCTCAACGGCTTATAAAATAACCCTCTTTCCACTTTGCCCCTTCGTAAACCTCACATTGCCTTCCATTTGATTAGACGTTTGTCGTCCAGTGCCCTCAAACTCAAACACAAACTCAAAACTGCCCCGAGGGACAAAAATGTTTATGCAATTGGATTCAATTTTTCGATCCAAGTCAAGCAATTGAATGATGCCAGTCAAACTTACACATACACACACACACTCAGCAAGGATAAATCGATTAGTGTGTCTGTGTGGGCAGCAA